AGTACATCATGAGCCTGATAAGTGACAATGCTGCCCGTGTCCTCCCCATCATGTTCCCTGCACTCTACAGGAACTCCAAGAGCCACTGGAACAAGTATGGGCTTGGGTGGGGCTGGGCAGTGGGGAGATTTGAGGATACAGGGAGAACTGAAAACCAGGGATTTCATGAGGCTCTGAGTACAGAGAGACAGAGACAGATGCCATGAGGGGCCTGTGACACCGAACAGCAGAGCAGTGGCTGTATCCTGTTGCTGCTTGGTCATCTTTTCGCTCTGGTGACAGTTCTATGCCGGGGGAAGCTGATGTGAACTGGTGAAAAATCTCAATGCTGTAGTACAGCTGTTATGAGCAAGCACACTGTGGAGAGTATAGTCTGGAGCATGGGGTGGGTACAGGACAGGCAGACTAGTGTTAGCATGAAGTGCAAGGCATATAATCTGACTTATCTGCTTATACGAAGCTTTCTCAAGTGGAAACAGTAAATGACTAAGCTCTTACAAACATCTCCCAGAAACTAGCAAATTGGGGTCTGGTGCTAAGGACAAGCTCCAGCCTCCTGCACCACCTTTCTTCTGGGTGGCAGGACAATCCATGGGCTCATCTACAATGCTCTGAAGCTATTCATGGAAATGAATCAGAAGTTGTTTGATGACTGCACACAACAATACAAGGCAGAGAAACAGAAGGGAGTGTCTTTCTTGGGAAGCTTTCACCTTTTACCTCTGGCTCCCTTTCCTTCTCTCCAGCCTGGCCCCAATACTACTTGTTCTTCTATAGGGGCCGATTCCGAATGAAGGAAAGAGAAGAGATGTGGCAAAAGATTGAGGAGCTGGCTCGGCTTAATCCCCAGGTAAGATTGTCCTACCACTGCTCTGAACTTGGAGTGCATCTAGAGGTGGGGGAGGACTCTTTAGAGGAAGGGTATGAGGCAGCCAGGCCACACCCCTTGGAAGTGGGTCTCACCACCTGCCCACACCTCCTGTCCCTCAGTATCCTATGTTCCGAGCACCTCCACCACTGCCTCCTGTGTACTCCATGGAGACAGAAACCCCCACGGCAGAAGACATCCAGCTTCTGAAGAGGACAGTGGAGACAGAGGCTGTGCAGGTGGGAGGACCCTGGGGTGAGGGTTGGAGGGTGGGGCAGAAATAACAGATTTGGAAGGAAAAGGAGGTAGGAGTAGTAGCCGAACCAATGAATACAAGGAAACAGATTTTCCTTGGAATTTAGTTGCTAATCCTTCCACACACAGATGCTAAAGGACATCAAGAAGGAGAAGGTGCTGCTCCGGAGGAAGTCTGAACTGCCCCAGGACGTCTACACCATCAAGGCACTGGAGGCGCACAAGCGGGCAGAAGAGTTCCTGACCGCCAGCCAGGAGGCTCTCTGACCCGCTTCACCTCCCACAGGGCCACAGCCCACTCAACCCTGGACACCACCCTGGCCCTCCATCCTGTGCTCCCTCCTGGCTGCCTTGGGTCAAGGCAGCACCTTTAGCTACCCAAAGGGATGCGGGCACTTGAAGCAGGGATACCCCGAGTGGGCCCTCGTCTTCCCAAAGTGTGTTCATGCCTCCGTGTGGCTACTACAGACGGCCTGAGCACCAGAGTGCGTGCTCGGGTGACCTGGGGATGCCTTTGCCCCTCTTGCTCCTGATCCCACAGCTCCCCGAGGCTGCTCTGAGAAACAGGAATACATATGCTCCTCTCCCCTCATCCTCCTCTGAACTCTACCTGTCTCTCTGCCTCTCCCCCTGCAGAGGCATGCAGGGAGCAGTAGATTATTCTCACCAAAGTTAGGCAACCTCCGTTGGCCCTTGGAGTGGGGAGGTGGAGGGTGCTGACCCCCAGCAGCACAAATAGGCCCCTAACCCCAGCAGCGTGCAGGCTGATGTATTATTATTCCATCTAACTCCCTGCCTGACAAACAAGAGGTCAAAAGGAGAAAAGTATAGGCTATGGACAAGAGATAAATAAAAGACCCAGCTGGACCATGGCCAAGGAGGGTATAGGGGATGACCTGACCCCCTCCCCTAATCCCTTCTCTGGTGAGCAGCAGCCCAGGGGATCACAAACATGGAAGGGACCACCCTTTGGCTGACTGCTTTCCTGTGCTGATTCCCAAAGCCAGAAAGAAGCAGGGAGCAGTGCCCCAAGTTTGGCTCCCCTGACACCTAATTTATTTCCCTGTTTGTGCTGAGGCTAGGTCGCCCTTCACTTGTCCCCTTAAGATACCATAAGAGGGAAAGGGGACCAGGGAGGGCTGGACCCAGGTCCCAGGGGTCCAGGCAGTGTGGCTTTTGGCTGTGTACATAGGGTGCTTTATTCTCCAGAGTGATACATGCTAAGATGGGTTGGGCTTGGGCCAATGTCCCCATATGTACAGAATTGAATAAAGTGGGTCTCTGAGCAGAAGTCTAATTTGCCTTGATGTGAAAGGAAGGGAGGATGGAGATGAAGATTACAATCGAAGATGTGTTCAGTCCTGTGCTGGTTCTGGTCTGGAGTGTAGGGAGGTAAGACCGCTTTCAGTGTAGTCACTTCCAGGCAGGAGATCCCTGCCGGGCTTGGAGGGCTTTCTGTACCACATCTTCCCACTGGGCATCCGATATCTCCCGAGCCCAGGCAGGAACCCCTGGCGCAGGCAGGCTAACTCCAGCCATTGTCCTTTTCACCAGCTCTACATGCTCTG